AGAATGGCAAAAGATCTCTGAATCATAATTAAAAGGTGTACTCATTTTATAAAGAAATTACTTAAGATCATTCTAAAAACAACAACATTGCTGTTTTTTATCCGAGTAAAATGTCATAGCATATATATATCAAGTGGTTTGTAATAATGCCTTTGCATACCATGTATACTAGTAGCAAGAAACATTTGATTTTCATTAATAGTTTGTAACTAATGATGTAAAAGTACTGATATTTTTCTTTATGATTTTGTTTATCTGTAACATGGGAAAAAACTCATGCTTGCATTGAAGATTTTATGTCTTTTTAGTAAAAACATTGTTTTATTATTTTAGAGAAGGACTTCTTTTTTTTAAACGTACCTTTCAATACTGATTGTTCAGTTTCTTTGTCTCTCCTAAGCATCACATAACAAGAAGATGCATTGATATACACTTACGATTTCGTAAATCTTTTTCTAGAGTACCGAGGAGAGAAAATCTTGAGAGACTTTACTAATCATTGGATGTTGTAAGCCTTACAGTATATAATCCTACGAAGTCGTAAAAATATCTTGCTAGGACACTTGATATGTTTCTTACTATATGATATCAACGCGTATTTTACATGATTCTTACTACGAAATTCTAGCAAAATCTAATGATCGGAGTCGTGTAAGACCTAAGATGATCTTATAAAAGCATAATTTTAGGTTTGTCTTGTGGAAATAGTCATTATAACCATAGTTTTATGCATTGACATTAATGTTTAAGCGATTAAGTGCATGCTAGTTTAAAGACTACAGAATTGAAAATACAGCTTATTATATAGTGATGTTTGTCTGTTACAAAATGACGCTACAGATCATTTTATTGATTCGATAAAATATATGTTATAGAAAAACCTTACGTAATCGTAAGAATTTTCAAGAATCTCATAGTATGATTTAGTGTAAGATACGAGTTTATTGTACGATTTCATCGGAACTTACAAGATTTTACGTCTGATTTCTTGATCTGGAGTAACTTAAATCTTGGCATATAAAATCATACAAGATCATTAACGATCTTCGAGCTATCTTGTATGATTATGGAAGATTATAAAGAAAGTTCCAATATGATCTTGCAAGAATCATGTCAGATCTTTTATAATTGCATTATTTGACCTGAGTACATTCATATTTCCCATGAATTAAATATAATAGCTACAATAGTATAATGACATTAAAATAAATCCAATACTCTTGAGACACCATGTTTTACTGTGATTAATGACTAATGTAGATGACAAATGGAATATGAAATGAGCTGGAGAAAGATAATCATTTAGCTGGACACTTGACATGACAACAAAAACAAGAGAATCACCAAAAAAACGTCGAAGAAAAAATGAATTATATAGTATCATCTAAATAATGACTGTAAAACGTAAAACATGCTCAAGAAAATTATTGATCGAATAGAATATTTATATATTCAGCGTGAAGTAAAATGACAACGACCAAATGACAACTGTGTGGAAAGAGATACGTAAATAATAAATTGTATTATTATGATTTTTGAATAGTATACTGCATCTGAAACACTTCCTTTTTCTATTGTTATTGTTAAAGTCAGTAATTTTATTTTGCTATTTTAGATCAAAAGCGACTTTTTTTTTCAAAAGTCTAATTTTATTTCGCTAGTATTTATTTGAGCAATAAAAATATTGGAATGAGCAATAATTAAAATACAATTTAGCTATAACTTTTAAGTAATAAAAAAAACTTTATCTGAGCAATTTTATATTATTAAATGTACAATAATTAATTCATTAAATAGCGCAGTAATTTCATATTTTGGCAATAAAAAAAAAAGAAAAAGAAAAAAAATAGTATATTATTGTGTCAATAAAGCTTTTTTTGCTTTAGATGATCTGTCTCTTTTTCTATTTGTACTATTTTCCACATTTTTTGCCTCTGGTGAAGATTTGCAATGTTTTCACCGAATGGATATACCAATGATGTGCTTGCAAAGATAATTTTTAAGGAATTATGGGCAAGTGCAAATTGCTTTGAGTGTGGATGGATGTGAGTCTTAGTCTTCTCTTCACTCACTCCCATTCCACATCCACATCCATATATATTATAATTTAAGTAAATTATTGCTCACTCATTATAATTATTCCTCATTCAATATAAATATTGCTCATTGATTATAATTACTGCTCATTCAGTATAATTATTGCTAAATTTAATTATTACTCATTTAAATTATTGTATTGCTCAATTAAATATAAGTCATTTTATTTATTGAAATTTGCTTTGAAAAATCTTAGTTGCAACACATGAGTTTCCGTGTTAGACTAATATCACACAATTTTTAAGTTGATCTTGACATTTGCTTCAACGTTAATTGACCTAGATTCGTTCTAACATATGATGCAAAAGTAATATAACAAATATTGGATTCTATTTCTTTTCGATAAAAGAGTGCTTAAAAACACTTTATTTATCAGAAGATAGACACTGTTTCTGTTTCGAATGTTATATAATTAGTTTTATCATCGACTCACAAATAAAACTTCGCAACGGAAAAGAAAAACATTCTCAAAATGGGTCCGCACCTTTCCTAAAATGTAAAATAACCATACAAAATATCAACTCTCATATTTCGCAAGTAAACACTCATTGAAACAATAATATCTTTTTGGATGACTTGATAGAAAATTTCCTTCTCTTTCGACCTGTAAATAACGTATTTTTGCTTTACATTCATACACAAACTGACACTAGAAGAAAGAAAAATACTCGTACAATGAATGTGTAATTTTTATATTAATTCATCAGATAAATCATATAAAATGGCTGAAATAATTAACTGTCGTTTTATATGATTTATTTGATAAATTAATATAACAATTACAAATTTGTTATGCAAATGTTTTTATTTCTTTTTATATCATTTTCTTTATGAATGCATAACAAAATTAAGTTATATTCAGTTCGAAAGAGGAGAAAATTTTCTATTAACGAATCAAAAATATGATTGTTCCAATACGTGTTTACTAAAGACATATGAGAGTTGATATTCTGTATCGTTATTCTACATTATATGAAAAGTTGGAATCCATTTTGAGAGTGCTTTTCTTTTCTCTTGTGACATTTCATTTATGAACATATGATAAAGATAAATTATATACGATTTGAAAAAGAAAAATCGTCTATCTTCTGATAAATAAAGTTTTCTTTAGGCATCCTTTTGTCGAAGAGAAATAGGATCCCACATTTATTTCACGTAGGTGAAGTTAGCACCAGATTCGAGTAAATCCCGCCAAGATTCGCCCAGGAACATGTTCCAACTGTCCCAAGGTGTGTTCCAAGTACAACTCGATGAGCTCTATCGAATGGTGTATTCCAATTCCAGATAGCTCAAACACAGTCCAAGAAAATCAGAACATACTAGCTTTTCACCATAGGTGATTCTGCATCCATCGACTAAAACCCGCCAAGATTCGCTCAGGAGCATGTTCCAAGTGTTCCA